TCAGTAAGGAGGTGCGGCTTCACTCGTAAAACTGCATGTGAGTGTAGAAGTGTCCGAGGGGGTCAAGGCCAGCCGGGGAGGGGTTCAGGCTGGGGCTGGTTTGAGAGGTGAGCCCTGCGTGGTGCCACACCCATGCCATCCTCTGATGCCGGTCAATGCCGCTCTCTTGTGTCCTTCACCTCGGCTCTCTCCCCTCCCACCTCCCTCCTCTCCTCCTGCCACCTCTCTCTGGAGATGCAGCACCCAGGCCACGGAGCCACCCCCAGGCTGTGACTGGCCGCCTCATGGGCTCTGTCTGGTGGCCACGTGGCTCCAGGCTTCCAATTGTCTAGTGCTAGCACAGCCTCACCTGCACCTTCACGCATCCTCACACAGGACTGGTGCAGTGTGGGGGCTCACCGAGTAGTTGTGGAACTGATGGCGGCCCCTACCACTCCAGTGAGACCCTCAGCATACAATGTCCCCCTCGCTCCTGCCCTAGAGCCTCTGCCCTGGCCACAGAGGTGAGTGTGGGCAAGCCTCCTGGCCAGGCGCCCACAACACCACCCCTTCTACCACTAAGGGCCTCTTAGTGGCCTGGCTCAGGACCCACCGGCCAGCAGCACCTCTTGCTCCTTCCAGCCCCGGCCAGGCCTCTGCCTCAGCTCTGATCAGCCATTGCTCACCCTGGCTCCAGCACGTCTATACTGCTCTCACTCCTCCTCTTCCTCCAGCACCTCTGGTGGAAAGCCAGAGTGGGGGTTGTTCGCAGGAGGGGAGGGGACACCAGCTCCAGGGCCAGGAGGGGAAGGAAGGGAGGCGGGCGGGCGCAGGGCCGTCTGCACGGCGGGGTCTGCGGGCGCCTCCTCATGGCTGGCTGGAGGACGGAGCAGATGGCCGCTGCCCGGGAAGAGCATTCCTACGGTGTCCCCCAGGTGCTGGACGCCGTGCTGCCCGTCATGAACAAAGCCCACAGCGGGGAGAAGACGGTGTTCCGGGCCCAGTTCAGCTCCATCACCGACACAGACATCTGCCATGCCATGGCCCACCTGGGCTCGCCCGACCACAATGAGGCACTCTCGGTGGACGCCCGCCAGGAGCTGGACCTACGCATTGGCTGTGCCTTCACCAGGTGCTGGCCCCACCCCTGTGCACGCAGGGGGGGGGGGAGCCTCCCCCACTCCAGCAGAGCTCACGCTGGAATCCCACAGCTCCCTCCCACCTTCCCCCTATCCCAGGGAAGGAGCCCTGGTGTGTACCACCTGTCACACCCCTACCCCACCCCGCTCCTCCCTGTGAACAGCCAGGTCTAGGGGCGTAAGAGCCCTAGGTTAGAACTCACTGCTATCAAGTTAATGGGGACCCTATAGGACAAAGTAGAACTGCCCCTGTGAGTTTCCAAGACGGGAACTCTTTACAGGAGTAGAAAGTCTTGTCTTTCTCCTGCAGAGTGGCTGGTGGTTTCAAACTGCTGACCTTGCTGTTAGCAGCCGACCGTGCAACCTACTATGCCACCAAGCCCCCCAGTGGCATATTAGGGGCAGTAAAAAGCCTAAGGAAAGCTGAGTTTAACTGAAAGGAGCTCTCGGGGCCGGGGGGTGGGGGGGTGGGCAGTGCGGGTATGGAAGGGGCCCCAACTGAGCTGGGAAGGCCCTCTGCCCCTTCCTCACTCTGGCACACACCCACGGACATGGACAGGCAGGCCCTCTTAGCCCGGACTCTGTCCATCCTCACAGCCGGGTGGGACCCCTGCTAGACGCCCACTAGGGTGGCGGGGGCTGGGGGGCATCTCACTGAGTGTCTGACCTGGCTGCTCCCTCCACCCCACCTGCCCTCTAGGTTCCAGACCAAGTACTTCCAGGGCAAGTATGGCGATTTGGACAGCTCCCTCATCTCCTTCGGACCGTGTCAGACCCCCACTCTGGGCTTCTGTGTGGAGAGACATGATAAAATCCAGTCCTTCACTCCAGAGACCTACTGGGTGCTGCAGGCCAAGGTTGGCCCCTCCCTTCCTCTTCGAGGGCCCTCCCGTGGTGGGCATGTGAGATGGCGGGGCTGCCCCATGACCACTGTGAGGATGGGGTGGGCCCGGCAGTGTTTGTTCTGTGGGCATGGGGCACAGCGTAGTATCAGAGCCCACTCAGCTCCTGCCCATGCCACCGAGGCCCCGTGCACTCACCAACACGTTCCCGTGATTGTGGGTCTTGCGGCCATTCCCGCTGGGAACGTGATGATTGTGAAAGTCAATAAGTCAACAGCTTCCCGGCCCAGGGGCACAAACATGGACCCTACACATGGGCACGAGGCAGGGAGGGCACGGCCCGAACAGGAACTGAGAGCTTTCGCTGGGGCGGTTAGCAAGCTGAGCCGGATACTGAAGATGCGGAGGTCGGGGGAGGCCTCCCAGCGAGCTCCAACCAGCGTCTGTGGCCAGGCCCCAGGACTGGACTGAGTGCCTTTTTAAAAAGTCTTAACCCCTCTCTTCTGATGAACACCTCGTGGGAGCACCTCAAGGGATTTCCTCCTCCCCTGGCTGACAGTCCTCCCTCGGACCTGCCTCCAAGCAGGACCAGCTGCTGTGTCCCCTGGCCCCGCCCTGGCACTGCGCCACCCCAGGGGCGTGTTTCCTCACTCCGCTCCTGCTCCTTCCCGCAGGTGAATGCCGACGAGAACCGGACGCTGCTGCTGGACTGGGATCGGGTGCGCGTCTTCGACAGGGAAATCGCACAGATGTTCTTGAACATGACAAAACTGGAGAAGGAAGCCCAGGTGCGCCCATCTGGCCACCCCTACCCCAGCCCAGCCGAGCCTGGGGTCCTCTGGCTGGGGGAAGGTCTCAGGGCCAAGGCCACTTCTCCCTCCTCCCTTGAACCCAGATACCTTTGGATCACTCACACAGAATATGGGACTTCAAAAAGTGGGCTGGGATTTTTTTTCACAAGCCTTTCGTAGTCCCTGAGCCCACCCAACACATTGGCTCTCAGCATCACATGCCCCCATCTGTTGGGGACCCCGTGCATATAAAACCAGACAGGCACTTCACCATGGACAAGGGGAGTGGTTGATGGAGCGGTCAGTTTACCTGTCCCCAGTTCAGACGTGTTAATGTACATCATTGATGGCTGTCCCTACAGTGGAGCAGACCTCACCCCACTTCCTGGCTACCCCATTTCCTGTGCTAACCCCTCTGAACTCTGGCCTGCTGGTCTCCAGTAGCGGGCCATTCTAAGGTGTGCATGCTTCTCTAGTGTGAATAGGAGTCCTAGTAGCATCGTGGTTCTTTTTGGGCTGCTAACCACAAGGTCAGCAGTTTGAATCCAGCAGCCGCTCCGCAGGAGAAAGGCTTTCTGCTCTTTATAAGAGTAGAGTCTCAGAAACTCACGGGGGAGGTTCTACCCTGCCCTGTGGGGTTGCTCCAAGGGCCCCCATGACTTTGTCATTTTCCCCCCTTCCTAGTCCTAATAGACACCTGCTCTTGGGGCCACTGGGAGAGTGGGAACCAGCCCCTTCCTGACATGCTGCTGCTTGCTCCTCAGGTTGAGGCCACCAGTAAGAAGGAGAAGGCCAAGCAGAGGCCTCTGGCCTTGAACACGGTGGAGATGCTGCGGGTGGCCAGCTCCTCTCTGGGTGCGTAGGGGCTCAAAGCAACACCCTGGAGGGCCCCCTCCCCCCACGCGTGGCTGTCCTGTGTCGGGTGAGGCTTCAAAGGAGCCCACCGCAAGCCCCAAATGCATTTCTCATCCTGCTCCAGAGCCGAGCCAGACCTATTTCCCTATTGCCGACAAGTCTAGAGCCTAGCCCACGGTGACCCCTCTGTGTGGAGCCCCACTGCCCTGCAGGGTTTTCATGGCCACAGTCTCCACAGGAGGCAGGCAGCCACGAGGTGGTCCGAGCCACCGGCTTCTCCGCTACCTGTCAGCCACGACGAGCCCGCTCTTGGCACCACCTGGGCCTGGCTCCAGAGCAGTGACCAGTCAGTGCAGACAGGAAGGAGGATTCCATTTCTCAGAATCGTTGGTTGACGCTTCACAGCTTTGGGGGCTGATGCGAGGACACTGACCCTGGCCATCTCCCACTCCTTAGTGTGAAAAGCACTCCCGAGAGGGCTCAGAGTCACCGCCTCTAGGCTGACGAGCCAAGGGGCTTTTCTAGAGGAGATTGATGTGGGCCCCTGGCTCTCTTTTAGCATCCATCCCTCAGAGCCCTAAGCCAGGGGCGGGCAGGTCATCAGCCATACTCAGTCCCTTCCTCTTGGGTCCCTGAGCCTCCGTTCCCTCAGAGGCCGCAATAGCGCTGACGGTTCATGTCCCTCTGGGCAGCCACCGGGGTACAGTGATAGGAAACGGTGCCCTTCTCCCCTCCCTTGAGCTTTTGTTTCAAGGTGCAAACAAAGGCCAGGGTGTACCATGAATTTGTTGTTCTGGTCAACCTGGGCTAGCACAGCTACTGATGAGAGGAGCGAGGTGAGACTGGCTGTCCTGCTCAGAAACCCTGGGCCATGTGCCCCACCCTCAGAAATCGCTGAGTTGGGGTGAGCTCAATAGCAGTGGGGTTTGGAGTCCACCCCAGAGGAGAAAGAGGAGGCTCGCTGCTCCCAGTCTCAGAAACCCAGTATGGGGCCGCTATGCATCAGAATTGACCTGTGACAGTCGGATAGACCTGGGGTCTGTCTATACGTAGTCTATTCTGCAGCTGTTTGAAAGGAATACGACCTCCTCAGGCCCCACAGTGCCGTCCCCCACCTGTCTGTCCCTGTGGTGGCTTCTGTGTTGCCGGGCGCTCTGCCACTGGTATTTCCAATACCAACAAGGCCACCCCACAGGTGGATGGGTTCCAGAGATGCTGCCAGACCAAGATAGACTAGGAAGAAAGGCCTGGTGACCTAATCTTGACAGTCACTGGGAACCCTGTGGTTCACAGAAAGCAGTGACAACATTCCTTAATCCTGGAGTGGGGCAGGTACCTCCGGCAGCGTCAGTTGGGGCCAGGGAGAGGGACCCGGTAGGGTTAGAGGCAGCCCTTCTGCAGTGCTTGGCCTGGGGCAAGGTGGCTGGCATCGTTGGGTCTTGCTGGTGGGCTAGAGAGGTGAGACTCACCAACTGCTGGTGATGGTCGGGGGCCCTTGGGCTGGGTCCTCAGGGCAGCGACAGTGGCGACCTGGCCCTGGCTCTGGCCCTCCTTGGCACGCAAGCCAGCTGAGGCCATGGTCTCTCACAGGGATGGGGCCGCAGCATGCCATGCAGACCGCCGAGCGCCTCTACACACAGGGCTACATCAGCTACCCCCGCACAGAGACCACCCACTACCCCGAGAACTTTGACCTGAAGGGACCACTGCGGCAGCAGTCCAACCACCCTTACTGGGCTGACACGGTGAGCGGGCGCACCCCCTCCCACCTGGGCCAAGACCGTGAGTAGGACGTGGACTGTACAGGTCCTCTGGCCAGCACCCTACCCACCCCGACAGAGACAGGGTGAGCAGGCCCTCAGAGCAGTCTCTCCCCCCACCTTCACCCCTCCCTACTGAGCCCCCACCGACAGAGTGAGCAGGCCGGGAAGCGGCCACGGCCCACTGCTGCAACGTGGCCCGGCCTTTTGCAGGTGAAGCAGCTGTTGGTAGAAGGGATCAACCGCCCGAGGAAAGGCCATGATGCTGGCGACCACCCCCCCATCACCCCCATGAAGGCGGCCACGGAAGTAGAACTGGGTAGGGGACACGCACTCGCTTCTCGGGCCTGGGTTGGCCAGGGCTGGCAGCCGGGCTCAGTCATGTGGGTGCTAGGCAGTGGTGGCAGGACTGCTGACCAGCCTAGAGGTGGGAGACAAGCTCAGGGGGTGAGGGGGGCATAGCTCTGGTGGGGAGGGTCAGGGTGATCTTGGTGTAACCTGGACTGCGGAGGGCAGGGTGGACCCGAAAGCAGGTCATCAGTTGAAGGCTGGGGTCTGTGCCCATAGAGAGGTGAGGGCTCTGTGCACACAGAGGCCACGGAAGTTGGGGTCCAGTCCCCTCCGCCCCACGCTCTGCCCCGGTCAGCTACACCAACAGCATGTCGGCCTGAGAAGCCATCAGGCCGCAGTGCAGGGCCTGGGGCTGAGGGCGCCTGCCCACCGCCGTCCTTGCAGGGGGCGACGCCTGGCGGCTGTACGAGTACATCACGCGGCACTTCATCGCCACCGTGAGCTACGACTGCAGGTACTTGCAGAGCACCATCGCCTTCCGCCTCGGGCCCGAGCACTTCACCTGCTCCGGGAAGACTGTGCTCTCTCCAGGTGACGCCTCGCCCGCCCTTTTGGGGGGCGGGGGGCGGGGGCAACAGAAGAGGAGGCCATCACAGGCCTCCCCTGCCTGTCCCGGCCCTGAGGGGATTGCTCTGTGCAGGCTTCACAGCGATAATGCCCTGGCAGAGCGTGCCCCTGGAGGAGAGCCTGCCCACCTGCCAGTGTGGGGACACCTTCCCCGTGAGCGAGGTGAAGCTGCTGGAGAAGCAGACCAGCCCGCCGGACTACCTGACGGAGGCCGAGCTCATCACCCTCATGGAGAAGCATGGCATCGGTGCGTGCCAGCCCAGGACCCCCAAGCCCGTCCCGACACCCCGACCCCTGGCCTGTGCCTGCCCCACTAAGCAGTGTCCCCAGGTATGGGTCATTCCCACTGGGATAGCGTCCCCAGGGGATGTCCCCTGCAGTCAGTCACCTGTGTTCTTGTGCTGGGGCAAGTGGACGCATCAGGCTCCTGCCCATGGGCCGTGACTTTCAGTATGGAGCTAACTAGCAGGGCCTCTGCCTCGTGTTCCTCACAGGGGACATTGCCAGGTGCCTGACCTGAACCCCCTGGCCAGCCTGGTTAAGCTCTGGGGTGCCGTGGACGCAACGTGTCTGGGCCCATGAGGGTGGTCAAGTCTGGGCTATGTGCTGATGGGTCACGCAGGTGGACTGATCATTGGAGCACCTCCCATTGACCCGGAGCCCTGGTAACCCAGCACCCCAGCCTGCCCTCTAGTGGAGACAGCTCTGCTCAGGCGAAGGACCCTTTCAGTGCCCAAGATCCAAGCCCATTGCCCAGTAGGTGCTGTGGTGACCGTGACTGCAGCTGGCACTGTGTTAAAAGCTGCCAGGGCCCTGGCTCAGCTGCACCCGGGGAGAGACACGAGCACAGGGTAGCATACTGGCCCTGTCTGTCCTGCAGTGAGCGCATTCCACACATCAGTCTTCATCTTTGGCTTCCACACCAAGAAGGGCCCTGGACCTGGGCCACAGGGTGGCCTCCTCCTGAGCCCTGGGGGCAGGGGGAGGCCAGAGGAGGGTCAGGGCTGCCAGGTTTGGGGGGGGTGCACTCAGCGAGATGGTGCAGCGCCCCTGGCATTCAGGAGGTGTCTGAGTTGCAGCCCGAGGTCCCTCAGCATGAAGGATAAGTGGCCAGGCCGAGAAGGGCGAGTCTGATTGGGATTTGGGGATGTTAGGTGTCGTCACCAATGGGCTCAGGGCCAGTGGTCTTGGGGCCACAGGGTCAGAGCAGGGCAATCCTGCTGCCAGGTCACCCTCTTGCTACTCCCCATGCAGCCACAGTGGGGTTCGCGTTAGTCACCTCACTTGGGTCAGCAGTTCGAACGCACTAGCCCGTTCCTGAGTAGAAAGATGAAGCTGTTGATGGCTGTACAGATTGATGGTTGTGACACCCTGTGGAGGGTCCCTGTGCGGTGGGCCTGGGGACATGGGGTGAGGGGCAGTGGTTGGTCTTGGCTTAGGTGCTGCTGCCGTCCTAGTTCTGAAAAGAGTGGCACCTGGGAGCCCCACCCTCCTGCAGAGGTCCTGGGAGGCCATGTGTGTGCAGGGCCTGGGCCAGAGGGTCAGGCAGGAGAGACCAGAGCACAGACTCGGCCGAGGAGCCCAGCCTGCCCGCCTCCCCGAGTCCTGTCTGTGGGCAGGCAGGGGCACTGATCTGCGTGCTTCCGGAGACCAGTCAGCCCCTGGGGAGGACACTCGTGGGCAGTGGGGGCTGAGTACAGGGTCTGGCGGGAGAGTCGGAAGCCAGGAGGCCCCTGGCCTCACCTGGGCATTGCAGGGACGGACGCCAGCATCCCCGTGCACATCAACAACATCTGCCAGCGGAACTACGTCACCGTGGAGAGCGGGCGCCGGCTCAAGCCCACCAACCTGGGCATCGTCCTCGTGCATGGCTACTACAAGATCGGTGAGCCCATGCCCGGTGCCCAGTACCAGTGCCGCCTGAGCACAGGGGTCCACACAGGTGGTGCAGGGAGCCCAGTGGAGCGAGGGACAGGCCTTGGTCCTGAGCACCGTCGGGGTCAATGGCTGTGGGAGGAGGAGGTGGGCCTGGCCTTGGCCCTGCCCTGGCGGTTCAGGGGAAGCGCTGCTGGCAGCCCGCCCAGCGGCATCTAGCTCTGAAGAGGAGTGACCTGAAGGTCACGGGTGGGCTGGCCCCTGGGGGTCCCATGCTCCCTCCCACTGCGCCCCTGCCTGCCCGGCAGACGTGGAGCTGGTGCAGCCCACCATCCGCAGCGCCGTGGAGAAGCAGCTGAACCTGATCGCCCAGGGTCGAGCCGACTACCGCCAGGTGCTGGGCCACACGCTAGACGTCTTCAAGAGGAAGTTCCACTACTTCGTCGACTCCATTGCAGGTGCGCGGGCTCCCCCAGCTCTGCCTTAGGGCATCTCTGCTCAGGCCGCTATGGCCAGTGTTCCCTGCTGGACAGTGTCGCGTGGACGTGCAGTGGTGGCCACAGCTCTCCCAGGCCAGGCTGGCTGGGGTCACTATACACTCGGACTCCTGGCCACCCATGGCAGGGAAGGGGTGGGGGTGTCCCTCTGGGTAAGCTCCTGAGTCCTGTGCCCCCTGCAGCTTCTCGCCCAGAGACCCCTTCCCCAGGGCAGGGCCTCACCAAATGCCACCTCCCTTGGGCTCTGCTTGCTCCCAGGCATGGACGAGTTGATGGAAGTGTCCTTTTCTCCGCTGGCTGCCACGGGCAAGCCCCTCTCTCGCTGCGGGAAGTGCCACCGCTTCATGAAGTACATACAGGTGGGTGGGGCAGTGCCCACAGCTGTGGCCCCTTCCCTCATTCAGAAAGAGCATGCCTCTTCCTGGTTTGCACCTGGAGCAGCCTTTCCCGAGAGCACCTGAGGCCCACAGGTGGCAGTCATGGACGCTTTGTGCGGAGACGTTGGCTCCTTTTCTGTAGGGGGAGGGGGGCTTCTGAAGGCCCGGCAGTGTGATCTTCTCAGAGGGGGAACGCAGGACAGCCCACAGCCTTCCCTCCCACGCCCCACTCCCATTGCCTGTGCAGGCCAAGCCGAGCCGGCTGCACTGTTCCCACTGCGATGAGACCTACACGCTGCCCCCGAACGGCACCATCAAGCTCTACAAGGAGCTGCGCTGCCCTCTCGACGACTTCGAGCTGGTCCTGTGGTCCTCCGGCTCCAGGGGCAAGAGCTACCCGCTCTGCCCCTACTGCTACAACCACCCGCCCTTCCGGGACATGAAGAAAGGTGAGCCGGGCCGGCCTCGCCCCCAGCCCACCCCTCTGTCAAGTACAAGCTGCCCAGCTGGCCCAGAATTCCCTCTCCTTGGGCTAGGTGGTGGGGAAGCTCCACTGGGACAAAGAGCCAGATGCCCAAGCCACTTGGGGAGGGCGGGAGGAAGCCGAGGGAGGGGGTGCCTGAGCACTGCTGGGACATGGGTGAAGTCTGAGTCTGGGTAGGCTGGGCCTCCAGCATCTTTCAGAGCAGCTGGGCCTGACTTGGGGCCAGCGAAGCCACCTAAGTTTACCAGAGGACCCAAGGTTTCCTCTTGGCCTGGGTGGGACCTGGCGGGTAGAGGAGTTCCCCGGGACCCAGAGCTGGGGGCAGGGTGGGGTCTTCCACAGGAGACTAGGGCACGTTTTCTCTTGAAAGGAGGGGTCCTCAGAGGCTCTCGGGGTGGGCTGCTGGGACGGAACCTAGAATGGCTCACAGCCTGCCCCACCCCCCAACACAGGCATGGGCTGCAACGAATGCACGCACCCCACCTGCCAGCACTCGCTGAGCATGCTGGGCGTGGGCCAGTGTGTGGAGTGCGAGAGCGGCGTGCTGGTTCTGGACCCCACCTCGGGCCCCAAGTGGAAGATGGCCTGCAACAGGTGCAACGTGGTGGCCCACTGCTTCGAGAACGCCCACCGGGTGCGCGTGGCTGCGGACACCTGCGGCGTCTGCGAGGCCGCCCTGCTCGACGTGGACTTCAACAAGGCCAAGTCCCCCCTGCCGAGTGGCGAGACCCAGCACACAGGCTGCGTCTTCTGTGACCCTGTCTTCCAGGAGCTGGTCGAGCTGAAGCACGCAGCTTCCTGTCACCCCATGCACCGCGGGGGACCCGGCCGAAGGCAGGGCCGAGGGCGGGGCCGAGGCCGGAGACCCCTGGGGAAGCCTGGTCCCCGGCGGCCTAAGGACAAGATGTCAGCACTGGCCGCCTACTTTGTCTGAGGGCTCGTGGCCCCACATGGGACAGCCGCCTGGCCATGGTGTCCTCCACAAAGAACCCATTAAAACATGTCTTTCCAGAGCAAAATGCTGCTAGTCTTGCTGCATCCCTGTGGCCTGCCCCCGCCCCTCTTTTCCCAGCTCATGGTCTCCTCTTCCTCCTGTTCTGTGGCCCATGACTGCAGTCTATTCACTCCGTCGTTTCCAGAACTGGTGTGCTCCCCCGTAGGCGCCAGCCCCAGTACTTGAGGAGGGTCAGGGGCCACTGCAGTCACCCCATCAGCCCCCTGGGTGGTTTTCAGCTCCCAAACCCCCAGGCTCTGTGCTCCCAACTCTGGGACTCAGCGTAGGCACTCCGGGACTACTCCGGTCTCACACAGGACTCCCACACCCACTCCGCTCAATGCAGGGCCACAGTTACACACAGCAGGGGCCCCTGGGGTGCGTGCAGTGGTTATACACTGCAGGGTCAACAGTTCAAAACCATCCGCCACTCCTGGGGGAAACGATGGCTTTCTATTCCCATAAGGAGTTACAGTCTCAGGAACCCACAGGGCTAGTTCAACCCCGTTCCCACAGGCTTATTGTGAGTTGGCATCCGCTCTGCCAGTGAGTTTGGTGAGGGGGAGCCGGGGGCTGTTGTGACAAGACATGGGCTGCCCTGGAAGCTGTCACAGGCCAGATTTAGAAAAATCCCTATAAGCCCCTCTGCCCCCTCCCCTTCATCTGCACATGCCAGGGGCAGCCATGTGCTCTCCACCTCGGCCCCTCAGGTGTCCCAGGCCACCACACAGGACTCCCTCCTGGTGCAGACTTGGTTATGCAGCATATGAGGCTCTGCTGAAGCAATAGGAACCATCTTCTGGCCATATGGGAAGGGATGGAAGAGCCCTGGTGGTATAGTGGCTAAGCGCTGGACCCCTAAGTTCAAGGTCTGCAGCCATTTGTCTCCCAAACTCACGGGCAGTTCTTCCCTGCCCTCAGGTCGTTTTAATCCAGCATCAACTCGATGGCGGTGAATTTTGAGTTTGGGAAGGGATAAAGGAGGGGGCAGGATTCATGAAGAGAAGCCTCCTGCCACCAGGGGTCAGGCTGGCAAGAGTCCTTCCTGAGACGGTGACCCCCTGTAGCCCAGGCATGGCCCCAGAGAACAATGCCTTGCTGAACCCAAAATATTGTCAGATCTGACTGAGGTACTCAGTGTCTGAGCTGCCCACAGCCCCACTATGCGCAAGTACACGCACACGCCTTCTGATGCCAGCAGTCTCCAGACACACGGGAAACACTGATCCAGGACCAGTAGCACAGACATCAGAGCTCCGGGGAACTTAACATGCCCTGGGTCACAGTTAATGACAGAGACCTCACTCCATCAGCAGGTGGCAGGATCTGGGAAGGGGGACCCCCAAGAGCAGGTAGATCCCTGCCGTGTCCCCAGGGGAGTATCCTGTCAGCTCTGCCAGCCAGTGGCTCACTGTGCCCCCTGCCTTCCTGAGCCGGTACCAGGAGTCAGAGGAAAAGGTGCTGCGTGATGCTTTTAATGGCTGGTTTTCTCGCAACGCAATTGCCAGGCCTTTCTTCCAAGATGCTTCCAGGAGGGCTGACTCGACTCAGTCTTTCGGTGGCCAGCCAATACTTTCACCCTGGCATCGCCCCAGGGAAGGAGGCTATATCGGAATAGGGCAGCTGGACAAAGTGCAGTGGGAGCCAGACTGGCTTTGGGGAGGAAGGAAAGGAAGCCCCAGCCAAGCTGTGCTGCTGCTTCTAGGAACACAATAACTCCTCGTCCCCACCCCTCCCCTCCCCCCAATTCGCTGTGACTCTAGCAGGTGACCTGTAGAATTCTAAGATGAAAAACATGTGCTGTGTTAAACCCCTAAGTATGTGGCAGCTTGTCACGGCAGAAATCGGAAACGGAAACAATGGTAAGGGGGCCCCGGTTTGCAACCACGCTCTGGCATTCACCCGCTCTGGACGTGTGCAAGCTGCGGGATCTGGGGTGCGGAGAGGCAGGGCTGACCGCTGCGGCCCCTCGCCCAGGCGCCCCCAGCGGTGAGTGGCGGGACTGCAGCGCTGGGAACCAAAGGGCGGTGCTTCCCGCGCGACGCTCCCGGCGAAGGCCTTTAGAGGGCGGCAGAGGCCAGCCCCGACTGCGCCTGCGCGCACCCGTAGCGATCGCACGGGAAGTGGGCGGGGCCGACGGAGCGACTCGTGGCGCGGAGCACAGGTGAGGCCACGACTCTGGGTGCGGACACCTGGGCGGAACTAGGTCGCTGAAGGGCTGGGGTGAGGACCCAGGGCGCCTTGTGTGCCTGAGGACTCCGGATGTGTCGGAATAGGGAGACAAAGAGGCTCAGACGGAGCACCCAGTGGTTTGAGGCAGGGACTGGGTGCTGAGCAGCGGCAGAAGGGAAGGAGGGGCTCCAGGCGGGAAATTGAGGGGCTGGAGAGCGAGGGTCGCAGACGTGGGGTTCGCAGACCCAGTGGCGGCGTGACAGAGCCCAGGGTCAAGCGGGGAGTGAGCGCCAGGAGACCGAATGCGGGGCGACCGAAAGGTGGGGCGCCTCATCTGCCCGAGGGCCCCCTCTCCCTAGCAGCCTCTGGCTAACCAGGGCCCGCTGCCGGGAGCCCCAAGCTACACTAGCTCCTGCACTTTTAGCGGCCCACACTCCGCCCCAGCTCTGCCCGCCTCCCCCCCCCGCCAGGTCCCCAAGTATATACAAGGCATGTGTTTTAGTTCAAGGGAAGGTTCGTAAGATAGAGGACCACCCTGGACCAGGGTCCCCACCCCTGCTGTGAGACTCAAGGTGAGCCTTCACTTATGTGGAAGGGAGAGATGGCCCCTCATCAGTCTTCATGTTCTCTCGGTCAATGATGGTGGGCTCCGCCGTGCCCCTCCCCCCCACCCCCACCCCCTCGTTGAATTCCCAGGGGTGGCCCACCAGGCAGGCCAACTCTGGGCCTCTCTCCAGCTACTTCTGACCTTTCTGCACATATCCGCCCATTGTCCTAGCCCCTCCTTTCCTCTCCTAGAGGAGGTGGAAATGACAAAGTCACCGATTCCAGTAGCCTGACAGTCAACTCTGACTCGTGCCTGTGCCTGGGTCTGTAGAACTGTGATCCCAACACGGTGTTTGCAGCGGCCGATTTTTCAAAGGAAGATCGCCAGACCTTTCTTCTGGCGGGTAGCCTCATTAACAACAGAGCACATTCACCTGGGAACAGCTGGAACCACGCAGCATCCTGACGTCACCATTTCCAACCTGGGATCTTGAGCCCAGAGAGCGTAGCGGTTCCAAGTTGGGCTGCTAACCTCAAGGTCAGCAGTTCCAAACCACTAGCTGCCCCTTGGGAGAAAGACGGGGCTTTGTACTCCGGTGAAGAATCAGAGGCTCAGAAACACACAGGAGCAGTTGTCCCTGCCCTATGGTGTCCCTGTGAGTCAGCATCGACGCATGGGAGTGAGTGCGTGACCAGTGGTCTTTGGTGGGTACTTAGACATCTGTTTGGGGAATGTGGCTGCAGGTACTTGTCAGCATGGTTGTATGAGGTGGACACAAGGAATGCCACTTTGAGCGCTGTACGCTTATCGGAAAATTCCTTTGTCTATCTCTCCTCTGTGCCTGTAGCCAGCCCTGGCTCTAAGACCTATCTCATCATCCCTGGGCTATGAAGGGGCTTCAAAGAGTTGGTGGATAAATTCCATGATCTTTTGGTTCCTTTCCACCACAGTTTTTGAAGCACTCCCACCTCCGATACGTTAGCCGCTGCTTTGAAAGTGGCATCCCTGAGTACGGCAGACAGTTGGTGCGCGTGGTTCCAGGCCACACAGCAGTGCCTTGGAAAAAACAGCCTGGTGACCAGATTCTGAAAGAGCAGAGCCATGAATACCCTTGGGGAGCACAGCTCTGTGCGACCCACACAGGGTTGGGTGCCCGGAGAAGGAGCTGACTGGGGGGCCCCTGGGTTTTTATGGTTTGGGTTTGGTTTGGTTTTTTCACCTTTGCAGTTATTGAAGGGGTCCTGGTGTTTGCAGAGGGTTGAGCACTGGGCGGCCAACTTCAAGGTTGGCAGTTTAAACGCGCCAGTTGCTCCGAAGGCGAAAGATGAGGCTATCTGGGTCCCATCTTGGAAACCCTGGGGAGTAGTGCTGCTCCGCCCTAAAGGTCCCTGTGAGTCAGGGCAGACTCAACTGACAGTGGGGTTTGGAGTCACAGACAAATGCAGGTCTTGATTTTAATCCACATGTTTCCTTGTTTTCATTGTGTTTCTACCTGTGCACTCTGGGTCACTTAGGCTACTGTATTTCCTTCTACATTGTGAGAAAATGTGAAAGCTAATAAATTGAAGGCGATCCCATAATCAATAATAATAAAATACCACGGGCATCAAGTCAATGGGCTCCCAGCACCCTAAAGGACAGAGTAGATCTGCCCGATGGGGTTCCCAAGACTGTGAGTCTTTACAGATGCAAACCATTGCTTCTCTTGCTCCTTCGGGGCAGCTGGTGAGTTCAAACTGTTACCGCTTTGGTTAACAGCCCACCCGTGCCGAACTATTCTACCCGCAGGGTTCTTTCTCCAATAAGGCGAGTCCATTTTCCATATTAGTTCTGTGTCCACCTGTCCTAGTGGCCTTGGTGTTGCTGTGAAGTTGGAAGCCCTGCGACCGGTATTTCATTTCCATATTAGTCGTCTGTCACCTGCCGTGCCGTGTGGTGGCTGGGGGGTGGCTGGGGTGATGTCGGAAGCGTTGCCACCAGTATTTCAAAGACCAGTCCGATCGTCTGTGATGGACAGCCTTCAGCAGCGCTTCCAGATGCACTCAGACGAGGAAGAAAGAAGAGAAACATTCAGCACTGAAAATGTCTGAATAGCCCAGGAACAGTGCCTGATAACTGCGCCAGAAGGTGCGCCCTCAGAACAACAGGGGTGAAGACGCCACAGGACGTCTTCACAGACCACGTGGTGGTCTGTTCTATTGCACATGGGGTCTCCCGGAGTCCGAGGCCGCTCAACAACAATACGATTCTTGATTTAGAGGGGCATTTTGTGTTTGTTTGTTTGTTTGTTTGTTTGTTTGTTTGTTTGTTTAAGTGGCCACCTTCAACTTTCTGCCCCAAACAAATCTGCAGTGAGACGGCATTTCACTTGGCACTGGAGTATCTTTCTCTGTCTTCCTCTCTGGTCATTTTTATTGTCATTCTTCCTGAAGATCTATTCCTGGTTAATCATTCTTGAAAACACACCCTCGTCCTTAAGTTGCAATAGGACCGACGCTGTCACCGGGCGACCCATGTGCGCGGAAGAATTGAAGCCTTCGGAGGCTGGTGCCGGTGAAGAATACTGAAAGGGCCATGGACGGACAGGGAAACAAATCCGTCTCGGAAGAAGTACAACCAGAGTGCTCCTTAGAGACAAGGATGGCGAGACTTCATCTCACATACTTTGGACATGGTTTTCAGGATAGGCCAGTCCCTAGAGAAAGGCCATCATGCTTGGTAAAGGACAGGGGCAGCGAAGGAGAGGAAGACTCTCAACAAGATGGACTGACACCGTGCCTGCAAAATGGGTTCCGGCATCGGAACAGTCGTGAGGATGGTACAACACCGGCCGTGTTTTGTTCCGTTGGGCATGGGATGACTATGGTGCTGAACCGACTCAGTGTTCCCCAACCACAGGACTGAGTGTGCCGAAGAGAGCTCTTCCATAGGGCTTTCCAGGCTGGGACCTTCTGGAAGCTGAGCATTAGACCTGTCTTCCCAGGCACCTCTGGAATGTTCAAGCCCCCACTGACCTTTTAACTAGTGGTCCTGTGCCTCCCTGTGTGTGACACCCAAGGGTTCCTAGCGTGAGGCCCGCTCTCTTAGACTCTTCGTCCTTTAACGTCACTCTGTGTGCAGCTGCCCTTGGGGTCCAGTTTGCAGACACGGTCTCTGTGGTTCCAGAAGGTTCCCTCCTGTGGATCGGCCTTCTCCGTTCCCTCAGAAACTGGAATGCCAGGATAAGCCCTGACACGGCTCCCAAGTTTTCTGCCCAGGACCTTGGAGCACCTCTTGGCCTTTGATGTTGATTTGGGATGTCAGGAATGGAATGACATGCTCAAATCGACATGGGTCTTACTTTCTGGGTGCTGCTTTTAACACACACAGGTGGGAGCCCTTGAAAACCAGACAGGTCCTTCCACACAGTTCAGGGGGCTGGAAGTCTGATGCATGGGGGACGGCCCTCACTCGCTTGGTGTGTGTGTGTGTGTGTGTGTGTGTGTGAGAGAGAGAGAGAGAGAGCGCGCGAGCGAGCTCTGGAGGCGCCAACCCTTACCTCAGCTTCTCAAGCCCCAGCATGCCTTGGCCATCCTGACTACATCGCCCAGTCCTGCACCATGCGCCCATGGTTGCAGCCGCTGTGTCCATGCATCTCATCAAGGGCCTTCCTCGCTCTCACTGCCCGGATGTCCTTCTCCAGGAAGTGGTTGCTCCTGACCTGCCCAACATACATGAAGACGAAATCTTGCCATCCTGACGTCTAAGGAGCCTTCTAGCAGGACTTTTTCCAAGATTGTTCAGTCCACGGGTGCTACTGCACCTCACATCACTCAGGAGGGAAGGCGTGGAGGTCATGCCCCACACTGGGTAAACATAAAGATGCTCAGTTACCTGCCGGGTCACACCCACAGGTATAGAGGGTAGGGCTCCAACACACAACTTTGAAGGACACGGTTGGAAGTTCTCGCCAGCGTGTTGGGAGGGGACCTCCCTGGGGTGGTGTGGAGTAGAAGGGTGCAGCCAGCGTATGAGAGATAGATGGGTGGAGGGAGATGAGCTGGGGCTGGGGAGCAGTGGGTGACAGAACCCAGTGGGCCCTGGGTTCCAGCCCATGGACCAAGAGGGTTGGCGTGGGTCCCCAGGGTGGAGGTTACAGCGTGGAGCTTGAAGGCTCGGCCTACAGTATGGAGGGAGCGTGGGTAAGTACCAGGACAGCGTGGGTCCCCAGGGTGGAGTACCAGGACAGCCTGGGAGTATGGAGGGAGCATGGGTAAGCTCGGGAGCCCGACTCTTGCAGGAGTGGAGGGGGCAGAGTACAGAGGCCCTGAGCTTACGATCCTACCACCACCACCACCATCTCCCTTTCCAAATCTGTCGTCCGTGAGATAGGAGTACTTGTTCTGGATCTTAGTGTCTCGGGACATCAGGGCTTGGCAGCAAAGCCCTCCATGTCCCTAAGGATACAGGAATGGAATTGCTGAAGTCAGGAACTGAGCAGAGGGGCCACAGCCCGGAGACAGGCCTGCCAGCCCCTTGGTCTCTCCCAGCCGGAGTCAGCACGAAGCCGCCTTGGCCAGGTCCCGGGTGCATTCCCACTGTTCTGCGTCAGCATCTCCGACCCACCCTGAGACCAGGGCCACGTGGACCCAGGCCCCTCAACTGCCTGCCCACCCCCCACTCAGCTTACCACCCCAGCATGCTCTCGTGGGCCCTCCCTGCTGCTTTCCCCTGGACCCCTCACTTTCCCCTGGACCCATCCCAGAACAATGACAAGTATCTTGCTGGCACCATGTCCTCATTTTGAAGACCACCCAGCCCCACGCTCATCCTCCCACACACACACACCACCCCCCAGAGCCGACTGAACCAGTAACAGGGCCCTGAGGCCTGGCATGTGCGTCTGCTCCAGAGGGGAGTGGAGTGTAGCAGAGAGGCTGGAAGAGCCAGATGCGATCGCAGTGATTGGTGTCGGCTGACTCTCATGTTTCTCCCTAGAGCAAGACTGGCTGGACGCCCCCTAGCACCAGCGCCCGGGATGCCCTCAGGATGGCCTCTGGTGCCCCTAAAGAGAGCAGCCCAAGAGCCAGCCCCACCGAGGAGGCCCAAGTGTTCCTGGATGGCTTCCTGCGGGACTTCCCGGCCCCTCCGGGTCCAGAGACCCCCCTGCCATGGAAGGCCCCGTGTGCAGTCCTGAGCCATGAGGAGGTGCAGGGCGAGCTGGCTGAGCTGGCGCTGAGCTTCCTGGGCAGCAGGTAGGCCAAGCTCCTCCCGGGGAAGGCAGGTGGGCCTCTCTGGGCTGCGGCTACTGTCTCTGGCTCCCCAGGGCTGGGTCATGCTACTACTGCATCAAGGAGGTGCATGCGCCCGGGGCCGGGCGTGCAGGGAGTCCGTGGCTGTAAGTGCATCCCCTTAGCTTACAGACAGGAAGCAGAGGGGTGATGCAGCCCCTGGCTGGTTTGGGGGAGGCCTGGACTAGCCTGTGCCCTTCACTTGCTTCCCACATATTACCCCTCTGTGAGCAGGATGGTGGCAAAGTCTCCCAGACAGCTACAGGGGGTACACTTGGACCCAAATTCCAAGCATCACCTTCAAGCCCCTCTGCAAGCCCCCTCCTGCTGTGACATGGTCAGGCCTTCAGCCTCTCCCACCGGGCCTACCCCTGTGCTCGGCCCCTCAAGGACCCCCGAACTGAGCTTCCTCGGTCAGTGTCCCCTCCGTGCCTGCCCACAGTTCTAATGAGGTGGCTGGGGCTAGGCCGCCAGGCCAAAGCACTTTCAGGGTCCCTTCCTCTATGTCTTCCTCTTTCTGACTGGCCCCTCGGGGATGCCAAAGACTGGCACTGCCATTAGCTGCCAGGCAGTCTGAGGACTGTGAGGGGTCTTGGGCAGCGAGGGCTGCTATGGTGGGACCAGGGCAAAGTCTGGATCAGGGCCAAGCGGAGGAGGCTGCCCACAGGGCACCCCCTCCCAGCAGGGCACCACACTGGTGGGTGGGCACAGGAGGCGCCTGGGACATTGCCTCCGAGTGCAGGTGGGAGGTGGGCAAGGAGGAGGGTGGCCTGGGCTGCGAAGGTGGTGTCTTTCTAGAAGACTGCAAGGGGCAAGTGGGTCCTGGTTGTGAGGACAAAGCAGACTTGAGGGTGGTGGGCCTGGTCCTTAGAGGCAGCCGCTGCAAGGAGCCAGGCAGAGCTTAGGCCTGAGCCCAGAAGGGCACAGCTGTCGTGCCAACAGGTGGCACCCCTGTACACTGCGCCCTACTCCAGGAGATACATGGCTCCCTGGACCTCAAGGAATTAGAAAGGTTTTGGAAGTCCACTCGAAGGCCCTGGACTGAAGTGCTTGTCCAGCCACCCAGTCAGCTGCTACTCAATGGTGTCTGCTCCTCCTTGTATTCGTGGGTCTTCATCGGTGTGGTGACCCTCGGAGCCTGGCAGATGGTCACATGCACACCTCTGTCTGCCTGACAGTCTGTCTCACACTCCCTCATGGGCCCTGGGGTCCTGCTTCTCAGACTTGTCAGCTGATAACTGGGATGTCCAGAGGTCAGAACCCAGGTTCAGACCCAAGATTCTCCTCATGGGGCTCATGGTCCCCAGGCAGCCCGGCCTTACACCTCTGGAAAAGCCCCCTCTGTTGGCAGGATGAGCCCTGGGGTCCGTGGGCTTTGCTCCACATTGACTTGAGGTCTCAGGGATCCCTCTGTGGGAGGGTTGGGGCTCCCCCAGGGTGCAAAGTGACACAAGGGGGGGCGGGGTGTCCTAAGGTGGCGCAGGATGCAGATGGCCTTCAGCCACCATTGTTAGGGCCTGCAACCAGAAGCGGACAGGAAGCTGAGCTCACAGGGGCAGGCATCCCCTCCCTGACTCCAACAGGAAACGCCCGTTTAGTTGGGGGGGCAGCGGGGGTAGTGGCGGGCAGGAGGTTGCGGAAAGACAACCAACCGCTTCTGTCCTGGGTGGTGGTTTTGCAAAGGCAGTCCCAGAAGCTCCTCTCAGCAAGCCCCTTCCTCGTTTTGAAACAACACTGACTCATCTGGGTGGATTCCTCAGACCACTGGACTAGCCACTAACAGCGCGGGCCCAGAGAACATCCCCTGGCCCTTCTGAACTGTTGGGAGCTTCCTCGTCAGCGCTGAGCACTGGGGGGGACAGGCACAGGAGTGAAGGAGGCTATGCGGAAGGTGGCTGTAGGGCACCCAGTGGCACAGTGGGGAAGACTTGTGGGGGAGGCAGACATCCAGCAGGCTCTGGATGATAGGGGGCTATGCCGAGGCACCGTTGCCTTGCAATTCCCAGCAGCCCTGCCCACGGACCACTTCTCAGCCACAGCGGGGATTGAACCTCCATCCCCCCGTAACCACCTCCCTTAACCAGTGATGTTGCCCCCTCGTAGGACTGACTCTTGCAGGACTCTGCCCCCTT